ACAGAAGTCCTTCTGGGAGAAGGCTTTAAAGTCCAGGTTAAGTGAGTCGGACAGCATAGGCAGTGTTGAATCACCTGGGAGAATATGAACAGCACGAGGGGAGAAATCCGCACCTGTCGGCATCAAAAAGGGGCTCTGGAATGGCAGCTATGACACGGCCATTAACGGGGGCTCTGAGGATTCTATTTCCGTCTACCCCATCATGTGCTCTGTGGGGACTTGAGGCATATCATAGGTCTTCTGGAGACCTTTTGCTATGTCTGACAAACTACTTTCTATTTCACAGAATTTGGGCAATTTACAGAATTATGGAAACTTAGAGGGTATATTAATTGGTATCCTCTCAAATAACCAAAGCTTTAAGGTGAAGTAAAATTTTCTTTCTCTCTTTTTTTTTAAAAGATTGACTTATATTTTTATTAGAAAGTCAGATATACAGAGAGGAGGAGAGTCAGAGAGGAAGGTCTTCCATGCGTTGATTCACTCCCCAAGAGGCTACCACGGCCTGAACTGCGCCCATCTAAAGCCAGGAGCCTTGAGCCTCTTCTGGGTCTCCCATGTGGGTACAGGGTTCCAACGCTTTGGCCTGTCCTTGACTGCCTTCCTAGGCCAAAAATAGGGAGCTAGATGGGAAGTGGGGTGGTCAGAATTAGAACCGGCGCCTATATGGGATCCTGCTGCATGAAAGACGAGGACCTTAGCTGCTAGGCCACCGTGACAGGCCCGAAGTAAAATTTCTTAATCTTAAATAATATACATGTGCTAAAAACAATCTTACCAAATTAATGATAATATGCAACCTAATAGGACTGAATTCTATTTTATACTTCCATACTTATTTTTCTTTCATCAAATAAGAAATTCATATATACACTATAACAGATTACAAATCTTACTGCCTAAATTTGAATTTTACCAATCCAAATTGTTAGGTGAACTAATATTTCTAAAATATCTTGAATTAAAAAGCAGCCAGCATGCTGCCACTTAACATGTGTCGAATGGCAAATATGTGAAAAATGAGTACAGATCACTAAGAAAAAGAACTGGAAGAACTTAACTTTTCAATTAGTCTTGACTCTTGCCAAAATGGGTTTACACAAGACTAGCTTCTTCCAGAAACAACCATTGAGGAGCTGGGAGGAGAAAGACTGATATACATGTGGATTCTAAGAATGAAAATAATATCAAAAAGTGACACATCTTGACGAGGCTGAAATAACGAGGATGGAAACTGGAAGGACAGCTCGGTGAAGTGAGATATAAATACAACTTCCAAACTTGCACAGGAGTCCCAGAAGTAGAGAAAAATAGACAACCAACTACGAAACGTTCTTTGAAACAGCATGCAGACATACTCCTTCTGAATTACGAGGGGAGGAATTACTACCCACGCTTTAGATGTGTAAGAATGAGACGAGTGAAGAGAGAGGCAGGGAAAGATGGTGGTTGAGGAAGGTGTTCTGGCTGTGTCAGCAGCTATCCGTGCCCTGAATCACCCTCAGTACAGAAGCCAGGAGAGGCGCCAGTGCCTGGCATCTGCAGAGTAAAGATAGTGCTGCTGTAACTGTCTTCCCCATCCCCGATGCCTGGCTGCAGGCAGGACAGTGCAGGCAGGACAGTGCAGACTTCTGCTTGTGGAAGGAGGAGGAACAGATGATCTTAGAGCCAGGCCTACTGAAACAAAAGCCATTGTCAGTGTTAGGGCTTCTGTACTTGGACCCTAAACAGCTATGTGGCTGGGTGGGGGTTCTGCCTCTGCTACCCCTCCACGACCACCAGCAAAGAAACAGAGTGAGTCACCAGCTGCTACAGAGTCAGGGGGAAGAGGGAGCTGGGGACCTTGTCTTGCAGCTCAGAACACTGTTATCCAGACTGCTCACTGGGAAAAGCTCAATGGTCTTTACCCCAGGCAGAAACTTACCGCGCCTCTGGACACACCCTGACCTCAGGTGGAGAGCTGTATGCCAGACTCATGTGGCCTGGCAAGTACCCCCAAGATTTTGTAGGCTGCAGGGACTGAGGTCTAGGTAGCTCCCAGCTTAGGGTCAGTATGGATGACCTTTCCTTCAACCTAAGACACATAGTAAGGAACCACAGGACAGGAAACTCAAAGCTGGGCTGGCAAAACCCAATGAGGGAAAATCCTTATGGTTCCCCATCTTCAGACCAGAGCTCTAGACCCGCTCTAGTTATAAGGTGCAGCTCTGTAACCATCGAATGCTGGACTTCCATCACAGCCAGGATGGTCTCTGGCTGGCTGCAGTGACCTTGTGCAATGAATCCACTACAAACAACACACCATAACAGGCTGGGCTTTCACTGGTCTTAACCATTACTGAACCAGAATTGAAGCAGAATCCACACTTGGCCTTTGGTTCTGTTTATTGTAATGGACTCTAGGGGAAAAACTCACAGGAGCAGAGCCACAATGACTCTGGTGTCCTATTGCTGTCTTTACGCATTGTGAATAATGATACACAATTATCTATTTCAATCTTAACAGCTGTGTTAAAACTGATTCAAGCTGATAAGAACAGATACTACCCTTGATCTTAGCCAAAAGGCTAAGAAGTGAAAGTGGTTTGACTGATTGTTGTAGAAAGCGGAGGAGGGGCAACCACAGGAGGACAGTCAAGGAGACACACTTTCCTATTCAAATCTCAGAAGAGTCGGCACTTCTGTCCTTTACCCACCCAGCACCACAGTTCATTTTCAAGCAGCAGTTAATCATTCAAGTAAACATTCTCCTCAGAATGTCACGTCGAAATAGCGTAAGAGGAATTCTAACTATATGCCATGACATTGAGACCCTGACTGGGAGGGAATTATAGCTTTATCCTAACTTCTGATAAAGATTTTTATGGAGAAAGTAATGAATATTAACCTTTAAACAACAACTCAAGATTTCACGTGGACCAGAGACTCTCCGATGCTAGAGGTCTGTTGGGTTTGAACAGAGAAGACTCTGAGAGGGATTACATAGGGACAGAAGCCACAGAATGAGGAGTTTGAGAAGCAAGTCAGGTAATTCTTTTGAGATGTCCTGACATTGAAGACACCTGCTACAACCTTGATTTCCACGGCAATCCTCACAGAGCAGCACCCTCAGCAAAACCTGGGAGCTTGAGGGTACGGAATCCTTAGCCCCATGGCAATGCTAGGGAATCGAAATCTAGCACAAGAACTTGGCAAGAAGGCAATTAGAAAAGGAGCTGAAGTCACCAGCCTCCGTCTGACCTCGCCTACTCCCTGCTCTAGGTACCTGCCTTTTGTACAGCATCCAGTTTCCATGGAATCAACATCAGCCAAATATAACCAACATGGTTGTTGTGTCCTGCCAGGGACCCACATCACATTCTCACTCTATCCTCACGGGAAGTTCCATTTATTTCTAATCCTCTTACTGGAACTTATTTCAGTTATTGAGATAAGATTCATGAAAGGTTATACAGAAAAATGTGACAGGTCAATTTTGTTTTTCATCAAGGATTTTGCGAAGTTAATTTCTTTTCCTTTTTTTTTTAAATACACAAATCCTTATTGTCTGAAGAGGTTAAGGCAGCACAATTTAATATAACTAAGGATTCTGTCATTCTTACAATACAAAAACTTTAGATTGCCACTTGGGGAAAAACATAGTATTTAACAAATGGAAAATATGGAAAGTCGGGTTCTTCGTGCTAGATTTTCACAGGCTGCCGTGGTATTCATTATTCATATACATGGAGAACAGGTTAAATTATCCATCAGAATACAACGGCATTTTAAGAGAGAGATAAAATATCTCATCTGTTATAGTCACAGGACATAAATGTAACTGATAATGCAGATGCTAAGATTTCTGAACCAATGTTATTTATATTGAAAAATGAAGACTAATAGGATTTTCATTTCAATTCAGCAGTAATAATTCAAAAAAAAAAAAAAAAGGATACCAGGAGTTCAGATTCTGGACTACAAAAGTAACATCAGTCCAGTCTGGAGGCATGTGGTCATCTACAATTCATACGTGAAGCCCAGCCCCCACGGTGACAGCAGTGGGAGGGGCTGACCCTTAGAGAGCCGGAAACAGAGGCCTTCACCCCTTGTGCACTGTGACACCAACAGTGCCAAACAGGAGCTAGAAACCTGGTCCTCATCTGACGCCGAACCCGCAGGCATTTTGATCTTAAATTCTCAGCATCTAAAACTGAAGGAATTTTTGCTTTTACAAGCTTCCCATAAAATATGACCCAAACTTCTCAAATCTACTTATATGTCTTAAATTTATTTCACCTTTAAGCTTCTAAAGTAATTTTAATTTCTATAAAAACCATGACATTGGCTAGTAATATTTTATTAAAAAATAAGATAAATTACATCTTCTTCAACTAAAAAAATCTTGCAGTATTTCACGAGCAATAGCCAGATGTCCTTGTGGTATATTCTTACACGACGCAGTGCCTGCTTTTACTGTCTTGCCATTATTCTTCATAAAAGTTAAAGTATTTTTTTTCTCTAGAGTATTTTTAAATTAGGAGAAAAAAAATTTGTTTTGCAATCTGGATTGTCACACCAACCTTCATTCCCAACTTCATCACAAAAACCTAAAAAAAACCAAAAACAAACAAACAAACAAAAAAACAATCCCTTACAAAAATCACAGATTAGGTTTATTTCTAATGAATGCTGTCACTCCAGACTCAGAACCACCAGTTACTCTTAGAACAGAGAGTCAATGTAAACACCACCACGCAGGGTGAGTGAAGATATCCTGTCCCACACCAGCTTCTCGGGCATGCGTAACAGCATCCAAGTAGTCTTGTCACATGGTCTGTTCCCAGGGAACCTCTGAAGAAAATGCCAGGAATTTCCGTCTGCCAAGTTGCCATTTTCCTGAAGCTCTCCGGATTGCTTCAGAAGGTGAACCGACAGGGGTTCTGAAGAAAGGCTGCTGCCACAAACCAGCCGGTGTGGAAGCCGTCCGCAGGACACAGGCCCTCAGACCCTTGGGAGTGTTGTTCTTTTTAAATCCCTTTGGGAAGTTAGTTAACTAAGTTAACTAAGGATTGTTCCCTTAAAAATCCCATGTCAGCACGAATCATCGCCTACACAGTTTGTGCCAACGTCCTTGGCTTTTTTCCGTCTACCGTCTTGTTGATCAGATCAACTAGAGATGGCAGTCTTACTTTATCCATATTTTTGCTGTAAACATTGAGGAATATACCAAGAACCACCAATAAACCAGACCATACATACCTAGAAGAAACAAGTAAGAAAAGAATATTAAAATTAACGAAGTAACCATCTATTACTGACCACAACATCTGGTGATCATTCTGTAATAATTCTTTCACAAAATAAAGCTTTGCTACTGGAGGTCTGTTTTATGGAATACTTCCCACCTTAAACCCTTTGTGGCAGTAAATAAACTCATAACTGTTAGAAGCATGAGCTGCAAGGAGACAGGCTAGACAATGGGCTGAGACCCATTTACCTCAACATCATACACATTACTCTTATTTGCAATGGGATTGGGATCCAGACAGGCAAGCTAAGAATGTAAAACAACAAATTTGAGGAATAAACAACAAATTTGATATTTGTAAGTATCCAAACAGATCGATAAATACCAAAAGATCAAGCTGAAAGGACTTTTTCAAAGCTTAACAGCAAAATGAAGTTATGTAAAAATTAATACACTTAGCACCAAAAGGAAAACTGAAATTAAAGTTATTTAAAACCAGGAAATGTAAAACACAGCATCTTAAAAATCAAGAAATCTGGGCATGGCACAGCACCCTAGCAGCTAAGTTCTCATTTTGAACGTGCTGGGATCCCATTTGGCTGCCAGTTCTAATCCCAGCAGCCCTGCTTCCCATCCAGCTCCCTGCTTGTGACCTGGAAAAGCAGTCCAGGATGGCCTAAAGCCTTGGGACCCTACACCTGTGTGAGAGACCCGGAAGAGGCTCCTGGCTCCAGGCTTCAGCTCGGCTTGGCTCCGGCCATTGCAGCCGCCTGGGGAGTGAATCAGGGGATGGAAGATCTTCCTCTCTGTCTCTCCTCTTCTCTGTGTCTCTGACTTTGCAATAAAAATAATCTTTAAGAATAAGTAAATCTTAATAAAAATTAAGCATTTGTATTATAAATACTTACTGAAATGTAAATGGTTTAGCAAAGAATATAAAGGAAAGTACAATGGTCATTGCTTTTCTTCCTGTTGTCACTGCAGAGATAAAAAGGCTCATCAGGACACGCTACTACACAATGTTTTTCATCCCGATAGTTTTAGGGGACATTATATCAGAATCTAGATCAGGCCCCAAGGAAACAATGGACAGTGTAAAACCAACCAAACACCACAGTCACCATTCCTACTACTCTGGAACACACAGCCTTGTGGGGAACAGAGATCAAGTAATTAAAACAGGTGGAGGTTAAAGGACCACCGTCAGCAAGTAGTCCATGGCAGTCCCAGGAAACCGAGGCTTTCCTAAGCACGGTGACGGTTCTTTCAAAAGAGCAATTTGAAGGACAGGCCAGTATCAAACAGTGGTCAGCTCTGACTATGACAATGAGTAACTTGTAGAAACTTCTTTACAGGACTGTGTTAACACAGAGTACTACAGCTGCAGTTCTGTCCCTGTCAGAGGCACCTGCATGCCTCTCTCTCCATCACAGTTCCGTCCCTCCACCCCAAGCTGCTGCTGTCCCGGCAGACTGTGTGGTTCACCCATGCCCAGACCCTACTGTCACACTCATTAAATGGGCAGTATTTTCTTTGGAGGCGTCCATCCCATCAGTTTTAATAGAAAGTCCTTAAATCTATGTAAAAGTTATTCTTTAGACAAACATAATTACTTGGTTTTAAAATTAGACTTTCAAAATTAGAAGATCAAGCATCATTTCATTTAGAACTTTGAAACAAACACGCTAAGCCAAAGGCTAAATGGGTGACATATGGAACACGCCAATGAAGAGGTCCTTGTCTGTTTGGAAAAAAGAGAATCAGAGCAAAGGTCAAAGGTCACTCCCTCATTTAGGCAAGTAAATCCCTCCTACCTGTGACAGCAAGAAGTGCACCAAAGATTTTTATCAAAGCCAAAACAAAGGAGATTCCGAAATACCCAGTGAGGGAAAAAAGAAAAGCATAACCATAGGTCCGAATTGGATTCTGTAACAAATAAAAGTGTGTTGTTATTTTTCTTTTTTTTTTTTTTAAAGAAAAATGCAAAACAAACCCTGAGGTATATTACCAGTAGAATAGAACTATGGGATTTAAATCAACTTTTTATGCAATAATAAGCCATCTGATAATGCAAAGATCCTTATTTGGCTTTGACTTAATGTAACAATAATGAGAATAAAATTTCCAGTTTCTACACGTGTATAGCCTAAAAATGAACCTACAGAGTACAACAAGGATAAAATCAGGTACATATCAACCAACTCATTTCTTAAATAATGTGTGTCCTATATTAATTATCCTAAAGGTGCTACCAAATTGCTCTTAGTAACAGCTATTTTTGAACAATTAGAATTATAAATATAGAGAAAATTCTTTAATGGAATGTTCCTTAAAAAATGTCATTAGTATTTACCTTCGAACAAAATGTTACTGCAGGGCCTAATCCACTGGTACACGTCAAACCCAGTAAGATGTACACAAAGCCGATTGAATACGAATACAAAACCTAAAGAGGACAGAAACAAAGTGGGAGGAAAATACCAACAAAGAAAAGTAAACACAGGGTTTCAAACACTTTTTCTCCCAGTCTATTCTCCTTACAGGCAAGACTCAAGGCAGTACCAGCAGCCTTCAACACCTGCTGTGAGTCATACTCTCTGCTAGTGCCCTGTGTGAGTCACAGCCTGCTTTTAGATGGCCCCAAAACGTCATAGACACTGAAGAAGAGGCGGGGAAGCTATGATATGGACTGAGGTTACGACAGATTCTACCATCTTAGCCTCTGTAACACATTAACTATAGAACCACTTCCTTAGTTCCCCCTGAGGCTACTATTACCTTATCCAGAAAGATTAATGAGAATCAAGAGAACTCCTGACCAAGATTAAACCTGTTAATGGAATAGGCAAGAACAGCACTATACTCATGTATGTTTAATTCAGTATGCTTTAACGTCCAGCAAAGTGACTGGTGATAAAATAGTGTGAACATCTGGACACACATGTGCACACATGGACACACAAACTTTTCTGTATACAAGAAATTATATATCACTTGAATAAAAGGAAAGTCACACCTTATTTTTGCACTAAACAACCAAGTACACAGCTGCCAATCTCCCTAAGTTAATTTATAATTCAATGTCATACCAGCCACATTATCAAAGGGATTTCCAGTCTACCTGGGGATTACATATACCCAAGAATAACTATTGGTAGCAATATTCTGAAAAACAAAAGCGACACTGGTGGCTAATGCTGACACAAGGCGCATGAGAGATCAAGCTGTTGGTGCAAAAGTAAACTCAAAAGAACAGAACTCCGAGCCCCGGATCAGAAAGCAGTGACAACAAGGAAGAGATTTACAAATCTTTGGAAAAGATGGTTATTCAAAACGGCATTGGGACAAGTGAGTAGTCATAGAGCAGTAAAAACACTTTTAGAATCTTCAAAATTGGGTCAAAATATAAGAAAAAAGAAAATCATAAAACTAGTAAACAACATGGGTAATTTCTTATTTTAAGTCACAGAGTTGGTAAAGTTCTTTCAACCATGAAACACACAGTCAAAAGCCATAAAGAAAAAGTTACATTGCAGTACACAAAAAACCCCAAATGACATGAAAAAACAACCCCAAACACAAAGGAGCTGGGCATGACATAACAGGATTTAAAAATAAATCAAAGTCTCTCTAAACCAACAGGGAAAAAGTGTATCAAATACATAATCAGTTGTCAGCAATACTAGTAGCAGTTGCTCCATGAGAAGAATGATAAAACTTAGAAAGATGCTGTATCAGAGTTTTGCATAATATAACTGTTTCATAAAATGAGGTGTGTCCCCACTGTCCGGCCTGACTAGTTACCATTTCAGAATTCGAAGCGTGATGCAGCTTCATTGCCTTCTCCTGCACGTTCCCAATGACGGCGTCCGCACACAGGGCCAGGGAAATGAGCACCACACCTTCAAGGAGGCAGAAAAGAAAGTGCCTGACTGAACCCATGGTCAACAGTCAAGGTTTCTAAGAAATCTGAGACAAAAAGCAAAAGCACGTCTTCAGCCATATTTGCTCCATGGTTGAGTATTCTCCACAGCCAGTTGTAACAATGACAGGGACAATACAATCTTTCTCTCTCTCTCTCTCTCTCACACACACACACACACAAACACTCATACACTAAGTTAATGCTGTCTCCAGCACTGAATTTCAATATCATGTTAAATAACTCTTCTACTTTTACACAAAATTGTATGTTTGAAAGAAATAGCACGTTAAACCAGTGGAATGGAACTACCTTGAAGATTCAAAGATCTATTGGGATCAAAGGCAGTTTAAAAAACAAAACAAAAAAGAGGAATGGTGAAAAAAGGAAAAAAGCTCTGTAGGTTGAACATCCTTAACACAAAAATTGGTCTTTACCATGTTCCAAAATTAAAAATTCCTTGAGCACCATCATAGCGGCTACCATGAGTGAAAAGTTCCCCACAGGACAGCTGCAATGCTGGCCACTAGCCGTGCCGTATAAAAGAACCTGCATGCTGGGTACAAGGTGTGCACGGAAGCCAAGTCAATTCAGGGGGCAGACTTGGGTCCCAGCAACAAGAATGCTCACTATGTGAGACACTCCTGGGCCCACACATCTCTACTCAGTGTTACTTTGCACGTATTAGTAAAACAATGAATTCAGTAGTCATGAGTAGGTATTTAGCTTCCAGAAACTCCTTTAAGAATGCAACCTGACTAGACTTTTTTTTTTTTTTTAACTTCAAAGTCAGATTAACAGAGAGGGGAGACAGAGCTCTTCCACCCCCTGGCAACTCCCCCAAGATGCCCTCAGTTGAGCCAGGAGCCTTTTAGGGACTCAAGCACTGAGGCACTCATCTGTTGCTTTCCCAGGCAGCTGGATTAGAAGTGGAGCAGCTGGGACATGAACCTGGCGCCTGTCTGGGATGCCAGAACCATAGGGGCAGCCGCGCCTGCTGCACCACAATGCTGGGCCTCAATATCCCTTTTTAAGCCAAAACACAGGGCCCGGCACGGTGGCGCAAGTGGTTAAGGTCCTCGCCTAGCACGCCCGGGATCCCATATGGGCGCCGGTTCTAATCCCGGCAGCCCCGCTTCCCTTCCAGCTCCCTGCCTGTGGCCTGGGAAAGCAGTCGAGGACGGCCCAAAGCTTTGGGAACCTGCACCCGCGTGGGAGACCCGGAAGAGGCTCCTGGCTTCGGATCGGCAAAGTATCGGCCCGTTGCGCTCACTTGGGGAGTGAATCATCGGACGGAAGATCTTCCTCTCTGTCTCTCCTCTCTGTATATCCGCCTTTCCAATCAAAAAAATAATAAAAATAAATCTTTAAAAAAAAAGCCAAAACACAGGGACTGGGCATTTTTGCCAGGTTGTATTTCCACGTGATTCAGTCAAAGCTCCATGCATTTCTCATTGCAGTTTCTGTTCCTTCTCTAAAACTGCTTTTTCCTAAATAGAAAAAGAAAGTTTCCAAGCATAATTCTCTTTAACCTCTGCCAAGGGAAGGGAAAGTATTCCTGACAAATGTTAGCCTGGTTAAAAACATTGGCAACTGTAAGCTTTCCCTAAAACCGAGCAGAACATGCTTGTGCCCAAGTGCAAAGAGCGGAGGTAGCGGCTTCCTCTCGGCTTCTCTGAGGCAGAACAGGCACTCCCACCCGGGAACCGACCTCCTTAACCAAGTTAGTGAGGAAGGTTGACAACTGGCAGGAGAGTGTTAGGAAAAAAGGTGACGCCGATGTGAATGGCTTTCCTCATTTCTCACAATTGGTTTTTCTTCTGTGTAAGTAACTATTTTACAGACGCTGTTACTATTACGATGTTGTTGCTCATTGAGTGTCTTTGAAGACTTACATACTTCACACACTGTTTCTGTCAGGTTAGGAGATGGGCTGCCATGAAGTTAAAATATTAGTACATTTCTTCCAATAATTAAGATAATCATACTGAATGTAAACCAAAGAACTACCCCCAATATCTCTAAAGGCGTTCAGAACATAGGATTTTACCATTTATTTTTAAATTCTCAGATATTTCTAACTACACTGTAGAATCTATTGTCTTTGAAATTTAAATTAACAAAATTTCACAAAATGTACAATGAGAAAAACTAGCTTATAGTGGAAAACTTAAAAACTTTAATATTTTTGTTTGTTGAAGTACAGCATATCTTTACTGCTTTCCCTAAGAAAATGACAACTGAATGTGCGTACCCCAAAGTGTTTTTCAAAAAGGGGAGAAAACTGCTGCTTTGATTTCCCTATAATTTCTGCCTAATTCAGCTGATTAAACATTTATCATCTACTAGAAAACTATGGATTTCGCTGGGCAAACAGCCTCCCGTCATGTCAACACCCAAGAGTGCCAAAAGATGGCTTCACTTCCGGAGTGCAAGCTCCCATGCAAAGTCCTGAAGCCTTTGGTTAGACGTGACAATCCTATCATTTAAAATTCTCAGGAAATGTCAAAACTGCTTAGGACTCACTAAAGCATGGGTAACAGAAGAGCAGACAGCCCTACCTGTGAGGTTGAAATTCGGGGCAATGGTGCTGTCGGCCAGGGTGAACCATATCAGGCCTAGGCTCATACACACAGCGGCAGACACGTCGGCAACGTTGTAGCGCTTCCCTGTCCGGGACAGACATAAGGGAGGTGCCCGTCAGGCGAGTGTTGGAGCCAGGCTTACCCCAGCAGAGCAGAGCGGGGAGCAGCAGGGATCTGTTTCATACACCCAAAGCCAGACCCCCGAGAGGAGCCCTTGGACAATGCCTGCGACAGCTACAGAGGGCTTGAGGGAAGTGGGCGCCAGGAGGTCTTCGCAGCTACAGCAAAGATCCCACTGTATCTGTCACAACAGCAAACCAACACACGCATTTCATGAAAATTTCAAGGCAAGAAAAACGTACATCTACAAACATTAAAAAAATTTCATTGAAATTCATGCCTCTTAATAAGAAACATTTTCTTGTTTTTACATTTATAGCATAACCTTTGTACCAGGGTAATGAACTATCTACACAATGGTTTAAACACAAGATATAAGATAATTTCTGGGTAAATGAGAACTAATTTATTTCACTAATCTGTATTTAAAAACTAAAACATAAAGTGTAACTTTTTAAAGCATTAGAAAGAAATATAACTGGGAGTTCAAGAAGTTCAGGGAAAAGAGATTATCTTTTAATTCCACTTTCCCACAAACTTTTTGAAGCCCCCTTGTATCACATGTGTCCGAAGTCATTTAGGAAGCTATGTAAGATTTCTAGCAAGGGCAAAGGGAGACTAGTAACCCTGCCGTGGTGATTCGCTGACACCACACTCCCATTGATGACATAAAGGCTTTGGGAGGGGATGTGATGCTTAGCACAGGAGCAGGTGGTGTGAGATCCCGAGTGACACATGAACAGCAGCTACGCCTCAGCACAGTGAATGCTCCCACAGCCGCCTTCCGTCCAGCCTGCACCGCAGCCTGCCCCGAGGCAGCAGTGAGCCAGCAGGGTCAGTCACAGAAGCAGCTCTGCTCGGACCACGCTTTTCCCTGAGACAGAGCACTGTGTAATGGAGAGAATGTGGCGCTCCAAAGAACAGGTGAATGGGAGCACTCAGCACTTCCAGGTACTTCTGAATGTGTAAATACAGTAATGCTGCAAAAGCAGTAGCTTCCAAAGTGGGAAAAATCACAACAATTACAAAACCAACTTCTTCTTTTTCCCAAGCTCAAAATGTTGGTTTCAGATACTAAGACAGCTCTGAGATATCCCCGTGATTTTTTGATATGTTGCGGGCAAACTATCAAAACTGTCAGGTAAGCCAGACTGTTCACCAAATGTATTAACGGAAGTTGAATGTTTTTCCCAATGCTAGAGCTCATAACATAGCCTACAAGTTTGAAATAGTATGAAAATATATCATTACTATACCTTGAATAAAAACTCCTCCTAGCATAACAGGAATCAATTTGCAGCACTTGAAGATGACTTGGGTAGGATAATTCAGGTAGCCCAAGGAAGTGTTTGATAACCCCATAGTACCCACAGTTAGAAAAGCTATTATCATGTAGGTTTTTCCTGGTATTCTGTAAAAGACAATTTTTAGAACCTTCATTTGGGGACCCGATTCATACTACTGTAAGATAGTGTGTTTACAAGGTTTAAATGTCTATTTACTTTTCTAATTTCTCAAAATACCACTATCCTTAAGGTTGTAACATTGTATGCTTGAATAAAATAATGCTTATAAAAATCACAGTTTACATAAATGCAAAGTCTCAACTAAGTGAAAAAGTGTTATATGAAGAGACAAACTTTGATTGCTACAGGAGGTATAAATGTTGATTTTTTAAAAATAATTCTAGCTACATTTGGATTGAATTTTAAAATGTGTTTAATTTTTTTTAAAAACACTGGCCTCTCTCATGGTTCCAGGCACCTTAACTGTGCTTTTAAGTGCATTTTCTAAGTCTGATGTACTTTCTGTTCCTTTACATTCCCATCTAACATTAGGAAAAAATACATCGACCCATTCTGCTGGAGTGACCAGAGCAGTGTCTCCAGAAAGGGACACGTACAGGCTGATGCTCCGGCATCTTACAGGCCACCCTCTCTGTGTTCTAGAAAATACTGCAATAACCAACTCTCCTTGTGATCTCAAACCTTTCAACTTTGGCCCCATCCACATTTCTCAGCAGTGAGTGTTAATTTGGCATCTTTTGATGTGAACACATGCTCACTTAGAATGGTCTAAAATAATGTTGGGCGTGGTGTAATACAGCAGCACCTCCTGCCGTTATCCAACAGCACCGTGATCATGCTGCTTTTGAGGGTGTCTCAAACAGCTGGTGCAAAACACATTTAAAAATTAAGCTTCCTTTCAATGAAAAAGTTTTTTGAAGTATATGTTTATTATGGGTTTTCAAGAAGTACATGGGAGATGTCTACTGTGCAAAATCTATACACGGCTTCACTTTTTTTTTCTCCTAAAATAAACTCATTTGTCAATATTTTTTTTTCACAAACCTTTTAAAGTACTCTTAGATGTAATCTGCTTTTTGCATGTTAGTTAAAATTCAATTTAGCCAACAAAAATTCTTTCATGCCTTATATGAGCAGGTATAAAGTAAAATAATTTACTGAAAAAAATGCAATTAAAATGCATCCTTTTACACTTATGTTTTAATTTTCAGGCCTTCTCTATGTATGTGCCAAGGCGGGAATCCACACTGAACATCCTTGTGGAGATGACTCGGCAGGCCTGGATCCACCAGTGAGGTCACACGCTTTCTCGCTGTCTGGGACTTGAGCCTCAGTGGAATGGGACAGCACCGCAGCCCCAGCTGGCCACGGAGGCTGCGGGAGTCACAATTCCCCCAAGGTAAACAGTAAACAGTGGCAGGAAGCTCCCACGGAGGTCAGGAGAGCAGCACTGTGCAGAGAGGAGTAGCTGGGGCCGAGCTCACAGAGTCCCAGCTTGAGAGCGGCTTGCTGCTGACTCCCAGAAAGGCTCAGCTCCACTGCTCTTGGCTCGGCCTCCTCACCGGCTCAGTGAGAAGCCAGATCCTGCCGGAAGCCACTGGACTCCCGGAGAGCCTCAGCTCCACTGCTCTAGGCTCTGCCTCCTCACCGGCTCAGTGAGAAGCCAGATCCCGCCGGACACCTTCTAGGCTGCACACCCTTCTTCTCCTTTATGTACCACCCCAACTGTTTATCTTTGCAAAAATGGTGGGAAAAAATGTTATTTAAAAAATGCCAACCCTCTTCCGAAGCAATTAAAAACAAAGTAATCAATAAAGTTACAGGGAAATTTATGGCAAAACATCTGTAGCATATTAGGGCACCAACAGTGTACAGTGTATGTTACCACACACTGTATAATTTGATGCTCAAAATCAAACTAAAGAGAAAATTTCAAAAGCCTCCTTCCCTGTGGACCTAACACAGCTAGTAACCGGCAATCCCAGACCCAAACCTGTGTTTGCCAAGTCCGAATTCTGTTCTTTATCTAGCTCAATGGTCTTCACATACATGTAGGAAGAAAAAAAAACCCCAATAAGTAAAGAGCTAATTAAAGGTCTTAAGGGCAGTCCTTAAATTGGAAATGGATGCATATTCAGAAATAAACCAAATACGTGCGTGATTAGGCCTATTTTCATTGTAAGGTGACTTTAAGGATTTCTCAGAAATGTGCCGCAAAAGCAAGTTCCAATTCATAATTACACTAATGACAAGTCTACAAGTGTTTTGCCAGAATTCCTTTATTTATGCTTAAGTCAAACACAAATTATTTTGTTTTAGCTCTATTATCTATCACTTAGTCTATCACCGGGGCCAAGAGGCTGGTGCCCACTGTGGGTTTTACCCAGGCGGTGGGTACGTCTGCTTCCTTTGAAGTGTAGCAAGTCAGGAGATGCATCATTTTCACTTACTATACACAGCACCAGATCACTGAGAAGCAACCAGAAGCCCAGTGGTTTGCAACAGTGAGTCAGCAGGCGTCCTTACTAGTCCTGAAAGCTTGCCTCAAACCCACTACTCACTGTTATATTTTATAGTTCCAGAGTATGGAAACAGTGAAGATGAATTCTGAGATTTCAATATTTTTACTGAAATTACTACAATAACTTTGTGGCAATGAAGAGAAGTTAGGAGGCAAAACAGAACAACGAAAGTAAATAAAATCAAAAGGGGTGCATTGTGGGAGACTGCCCTGGATCTCTGCCTGCTATCTGGTGGGCATGATATGTGACATGAATGGAGGGCATAAGGGTTAGCTGTGCCTTCCAGCCTATTACAGCGCTGTTGTCGGGTGGCAGGACTGTCAGGAGATGCCCCCCTACCAATGCCTTCCCCTTTCTTAGTCTACATAAGCTTGTGCTCCCATTACATTAAATGGACATGAGGCCCAGCATGGTAGGTAGCCTAGCGGCTAAAGTCCTCATCATGCACGTATTGGGAACTCATATGGGTGCCAGTTCTAATCCTAGCACCCCTGCTTCCCAACTAGTTCACTGTGGCCTGGGAAAGCAGTCGAGGACGGCCCAAAGCTTTGGGACCCTGCACCCGTGTGGGAGACCCGGAAAAGACTTTGGGCTCTTGGCTTCAGATTGGTGTAGCTCTGGCCATTTTGGCCACTTGGGGAATGAATCAGTGGATGGAATGGAAAATCTTCCTCTCTGTCTCTCTCTTCCTCTCTGTAAAATCTGACTTTCAAAACACACACACACAAAACCAATGGACATGCTTCACCTGAATGTCTATAGTGGTTCTTGACCTCCCTGCTCCATGGTTTTGGGGACCTACTGGCAGGAAAACTCCCCCAGAGTGGGTACGTAGGCATCTACCGCAGTGATTCAACTGCAGCCTGAGAGCCTGAATCCTGTATTGGAATGCCTGCTGGGAGCACCAATTCCTCCATTTCTGACCCAGCTTCCTGCAACAGTTCATAGTGGCAGATGGCAGCTCAAGTACCTCCTGCCAACTACGATCACTGAGATCAGAACTCACGGCCCTGGCCTAGCCCAGCCCTGGCCTGGCATGGCCTTGGCCTAGCCCAGCCCTTGCCTAGCATGACCCTGGCCTAACCCAGCCCTGGCCTGGCATGGCCCTGGCCTAGCCCAGCCCTTGCCTAGCATGACCCTGGCCTAACCCAGCCCTTGCCTAGCATGACCCTGGCCTAACCCAGCCCTGGCCTAGTCCAGCCCTTGCCTAGCATGACCCTGGCCTAACCCAGCCCTGGCCTAGTCCAGCCCTTGCCTAGCATGACCCTGGCCTAGCATGACCCTGGCCTAACCCAGCCCTGGCCTAGTCCAGCCCTTGCCTAGTCCAGCCCTTGCCTAGTCCAGCCCTTGCCTAGCATGACCCTGGCCTAGCCTAGTCCTGGCTGCTCTGGGCATTTGGGGGGGGTGAATGCATAGATGGAGATCTCTCCACATCTGTCCCCTATCTCAAATAAAATGAAAATAAAGCAAAAAGAAAACTGTAGATATTTTAATATAAAATTCAAAGCTATTTTTAACAAGACTTGTTTATTAAAAGGGCAGAGCGACAGAGAGAAAGAGGTTTCCAGCCACTGATTCAATTTCCAAATGCAACAGCCTGGCCCGGCCCAGGTCAAAGCCAGGGCCCAGAAACTCCCACTCTGGTCTCTTGTTTGGGTGGCAGGGTCCCAGAAAAATGGGCCTTCGCTGGCTGCCTCAGGAGACACATGAGCAGGAAGCTATGTGGGAACTGGCATGCAGACATTGCCAACCAGGCTTCCTAAATGAGTCATACTTAAAAAACGGTGCAGGTGGCGGGGAAGAGCGCTATATAAAATGTAAAGGATTAAACATCTGCATCAAAGGAGACTGAATGGCACGACTACAGTTCTTATTACATCTCAAATGCCGAATACATATATGAAATACACACAGATAAGGATATGAAAGACAACCAATGTTACAATTACCAAGAAAACTTTATACTAAAATTGGTAACTATTTTGGTTTTTTTTTTTTTGCTCTTTTTTTTTCTGCCTATTGTTCTGCATGTTAACAATACATTAAGATTTTGCTCAAATGAAAATGACTACTAAAAGACTTTGTCACACAAGCTCTTTTGGTTTTGATGATAAAATATGTTCCCCTGAAATTAAAAATATTCCTACTAGATTTAAGAGGCAACGTACTCCACAGAACATCAATTTCACACTCTGAAGACCACAAGAAGAGATTTGTAATTCACCACTATCATGTCCTCTGTACTGCAAATCTGTCCCGCTCATGCTATTTTAATGAGATTTATAAAAATATATTTTTTTGAATGGCAAAATAGACCTTAATAAGTTGAACCTCAGCTATAATTTTTATAATATTAAAACAGGATCTCACTTTTCAGTGTATAAAGAAGCATCCAGCATGTTAAACACTTTTACTAAGTTGGTCATACTGATATTAGTGATTTATATGCTTTGTTAATAGGAAATGTTGATTTCATGCAAATTCATTAGGTCTACAATGACAAATTTAATGAATACAGCTGAACTTAATATCGAAAAGGAAAGAGGAAACACGTACCTTCTCCGTTTGTCTTGAATAAGCTGAAGCTCAATGAAGCCAAATAGGGAGTAAAATGCGAATTGCACCAAGGTGAGGTACCAGCCATAGGACCTGAACCCCTCCATCGAAAATATTAACTCCTGCCAAAGACACACGGACATTGTCAAGCTCAGAGCAGAGGACTTAAATTCCTCACAATAGACATGCTATTTTAAAGAAAGGAAATCTTACATTAAACCAAACCAAAATCAAAGCACTCCAGGCTTCGCATGGTTCACGCGGGACACAAGCTCATTCCAAAGAACAGACAGACGGAGAAATCAGCGGAAAAGCAAGCAAGTAACTTCATGAAGAAACACTGCCTTTTCCTTTTTATTAATGACGAGACAGGTGGGTGGCCTAAGAACTCATGTGCTATATAAAAAGCATCTTGCTCTTAGAAGGCTGTGATCAGGGAGGGCCCCTGGCACGTGGGGTGCCTGCGCTGGGGGCCCAGCTGGTAATCTCAGATCTGGGAAAGCCCAAGTGGAGCGCCCAAGGAGTGGGGCTCCTGCTGCCGAGTCTGCACCCGTGGGCGGCCAAGACGAAGGCCTGAATTCCCAGCTCCTGCCTTCTGCCAAGTCCAGGCCTGGGGACCAGCTGCGGGAAGCTCTCTCCCTCTCAAAAGTAAAAGCAAGTTTTCAAAAATTAGGACAAAAAGTCCATCACCTCAGGGCTGTTTTTCTACAGGAATACAGTCGGTTCACACTGACCATGCTGCTTTTTAAAATTCTTAAACCATAGATTGTTCCTTGTAGAGAGAATGGTGAATTTGCCTGAACATAAATTATGAAACATTAATTATTAACAAGCCATTCTTAAGCTGCTAACAGACATTCTAATTATGTTCTCTGGTTTGATTTGAATTGAATAAACCACACTTTCCTCTGTGTGTCTGCATTACCAAACTCACCGTTTTCCTTGGACTATTTTGATACGCGTTTGTCGGTCAGTTTTCACAAGGTGGTAAACTTGCAAGCACAATTCACAGTGGTTCATGTAATTAACAATCTATGCATCTATACATTAAGCTGATTTCCAAGCCAGTAGAAAATTTCATGAAAATTTTTAGGGTAAAATTTTGTTTTCTTCAAAAATTATTTGTAGAGTTATGAGAAAGAAAGAGAGAGGGAGAGGAGGTGGAAGGAGGAGGAGGGAGAATTCATCCATGCTGGTTCATCCCCAAATGGCTGAGCTGCCGGGCCAAAGCCAGGGCCTTGGAGCAACATCCGAGTCTCCCATGTGGGCAAGAGTGCTTGCGCCATCTTCCGCCACTTTTCCAGGTGCAAGAGTAGTCAACTGGATTCGACTCAAACTGATTTCCATTAGAGTGGAATACTGACACTGCAGGTGGCAGCTTAAGTGGCTATGCCACATTAGTCTTACGGGTACTTTTTAAAAATATTTATTTACTTCTGTATTTGAGTTAGGACATCTGCCGCTTCACTCTGTAGACGGCCTAAATGGGCAAGGGCAAGTCAGGACAGCCAATTTCTAAATCACTTTTCTTTGGAATGGCTAATTTTGTTCCCAACCTATTTGGAAAGAAAAAGCTATTTATCAGCAACAAATTCCAATCCATATTTTTTTTTTATCATGCTATTGTATGTTATCAGTTAAAGATGTCTGACTTGTGGTTTTGTTTTACATTAATAATCCTCATAGGATTCTTTTAGCCTATTTAAAAAAATAAAGTCATGGGGTGAGCACTGTGGCACAGCAGGTAAACCACCATCTGTAATGCTGGCATCCCAAGGGGGAGTGCCCAGGACCGTCCCAGAAGCCCCTCCTTCCAGTCCGGCTCCCTGCTAGCGTCCGGGGGAGGCGGTGGGGCCAAGGAGTGCCATCCACCCTGCAGAGCCAGGTGGAGTGCCTGACTCCTGGCCCAGTGGGTGGCCAACGTTCTCATTCCTTTTCCCACTCCTCACCCCCCTGCTGATTTTTCAAATCCATACAGCTTTTTATTTTTTCTAAATTACTACCCCATTTTCACACTTGTTTTCATATTTCCTCTGTAAGACAATGAAAAAAATACAGTATGTAGGATTTCCATATAAATATCATCTGTGTTTTTAAGAAAGTTACAAGGGTTTTCTTCTTTCAAATTTCAAAAATTCTCCCACATGATGAAATTTATTTAAAAATAAACTTTTATTGTATTTAACAATTTGGCACACCAGATAAATAAATCCAATCATGTCACAGATTTCAAAGGAGCCCAAGGCTGTTTTCTTCTGATTTTTGCCATTTTTATCTTTGAACATACTGAAATCAAAAGATAATTTTCCCACTTAAAATATTAAACTCCGAAATGTAATGTGCTTTTTAAAGGCTTACGTTTAAGTAGTCCTTTTTGTCACTGTACTGAGAAGCTCATCACACCTGAGAACCAACTGAAACCCTGTGACTGAAAAAACAGCTAGGGTCAAAGTGCTAGCAGGTCCCCCCGGGGTCCTTAATGGGGGTATAATCAAAGTATTACAAATACATTTTTTTTTTACCTGTAAATATCCATAAATCAGGTAAAATACAAAAACTCCAGCAACACATATGCAAAACTGAGTCAGCTTGTTAAATTTGCTGAGGTTTATGCCAAGGACTAGAATGTCATCCACGGCCTTGATGTGCGGTGACATCGTCTGCGTTTTGGTTGGCACGGTGATAGACACGTATTTCCTGGAGTTGTTGAACTTGAGATCCATGGTTCTTATTTGGTTGCATGCAGGGCTTCCAAGGTTATCTCTGTCAGTTTCCTCACTTTCACTCAGCCTTTCTTTGGCCTGCTGTGCCAAGGCCTACGGGAAGAAAACAGCAATGAAGGCAAAACATGGAATCAGAAGGAACCACGCTTCAGTTACTTACATTCCAACGTCAGCTCTCATTCCACTTTCAAATCGAAACCGAAAGGCCTACTTGCTAAAAAAAATTCCCTCCAACTGATAAAGAGTAGTATGAATTAAATATATTTCAGACTTATTTCCATAACAAACCAAAAGCTAACTCAGAATTTATGTCATTAAAGAAAGAAGCAAACCTTTACGTTTCATTTAAGTATGTAATTTTTGAAGGCTATAATAGTTTTTTTCTCAACATGAAGGCCAGTAATTGTGTGGTGATGCCTCGCTATACATTAACACATTACCCAATTAAGTTTTCTAAAGTCAAGATTTATGTCACTTAAAAAGCTAGTTTTCTTTTTCCAGAGATCACAGAAACGACAGTATATTTTAGGCTAAATCTTTTTGTCTTCCCTTTGAAGAAAATCGTTTCAGGTAAAGTTGTTGGGATGTAAAAAGGAGGGAAAAAAAGATTTCGTCAGTCCGTGTAAAAACTTTCCAAACTACACAGACAATGGTGAAATATCTCTCTGGATCTATATCACTTTGAAAAAAATAAATTTGATGTGAAGGTTGAATAGACTGAAGAATTGGGCCTAGTGCAAAGGCTCAGAGGCTAAATCCTCACCTTGTATGTGCCAGGATCCCATATGGATGCCAGTTCGTGTCCTGGCTGCTCCATATCCCATCTACCTCCCTGCTTGTAGTCTGGGGAAATAGTGGAGGTTAGCCCAAGGCCTTGGGCCCCTGCACCTGCAGGAGACCAGGAGGAAGCCCCTGGCTCCTGGCTCCTGGCTTCTGGCTTCAGATCGGATCAGCTCTTGCTGTTGTGGTCACTTAGGGAGTGGACCAGAGGATGGAGGATCTTTCTGTCTCTCCTTCTCTCTATAAATCTAATTTTCCTTTCAAAGAAAAAAAAAAAAAAAAGACAGCAGGGCCCAATGCGATAGCGTAGTGGCTAAAGTCCTAGCCTTGCATGCACTGGGATCCCATTTGGGCGCCGGTTCTAATCCCGGCAGCCCCGCTTCCCATCCAGCTCCCTGCTTGTGGCCTGGGAAAGCAGTCCAGGACAGCCCAAAGCCTTGGGATCCTGCACCCGCGTGGGAGACCTGGAAGAGCTCCTGGCTCCAGGCTGTGGATCAGCGAGTACTGGCTGTTGCAGCCACTTGGGGAATGAATCATTGGGTGGAAGATCTTCCTCTCTGTCTCTCCTCCTCTCTGTATATCTGCCTTTCCAATAAAAATAAATAAATCTTAAAAAAAAAGACTGCAGAATTATGAAAAACAGGACAAACTTACGATTAAAGCACTTGCCTAAGAGTCTCAACAATTCTCATGAGAATGAAACCATAAAGTCTGAGGGCTAATGACTGAAAAGGGTAAGTCTGAATACACTCTCTCCTTTGGTAACCAGCTTTTTTAGAGGAAGAGAGAGAGAGAAAGATCTTCCATCTGCTAGTTCCTTCCCCAGAGCAGTGCATGACCAGGGCTGTGCCCATGACAGGTGCTCCTTCCAGGACTCCAGAGCGAGCATGTGGCTGGAAGGCGCCGAGTAGTCAGACCATTCTCTGTGCCTTCCCAGGCCTCGCAGCAAGCAGCTGGACCAGAAGCAAGCAGCAGCCGAGCTCACTGTGTCAAGACACTCACTCTGAGATCTGAACGTAGAAGCAGCTCGGACCCTTAACTGCTGTACTTGTGTTGCCTATGCGTGAAGGCAGAGCGACATTCCAATCAACTGAGCCACACACAGATTGCTACATTTCCTCCCCTTCTGCTTCTTCCAGTGGAGCCCTCAAGTACCCATTTCCCCTTCCTGGAACACACGGGGAGGTGGAATTCACCCCGCCTCTGTTGCCTCTGTTGGGGATATTCTCCCAGCCTGGTGTCGCTGACCAGGTAGGGCAGCTCAGCTTCAGTGTCCATAATCCTCCCCCGTCCAAGTTGGGGGAAAATATAAAGGGTCATCCAAATGTTCATGGAAAATATATCTTACTAAAAAAAAAAATCCATGGATTCTAAAAAGTTTTGCACCAAAACAAGCTTACCTTTCAGTTCCATTTTTCCAGGACTTTTCAAAATACCTTTACAGAACCTGAATGGCACAGCTGAAACCCCGTTTCTCTGCACAACCTGTGACCCAGCATCCACTCTGTACCCAACACTCACTCACACTAAATGATCTTTCTCTGTCCCTGGACAGCTGCAAATTTCCCACAAAACATCTAGAATGAACACGACAATGAACTCACTGGAGGCAACTGTACCACAAAGCCTGTACTCGGAGAGCGCAGTTCAAACATCACAACATCACAAGGCGGGCAGTACATCCGCCGAAGGCCTCCGAGGCCCCGGAACTGTCTTCCCAAACGGCAGCTATGTCCTGTCCAGTTCAAACACTCATGATACTAACTATGAAGTAAAAGACCGCACAATCCTAGCTGTGATGCAACTGAGAAACAAATAAAGGCACAGTGCTGGCCTAGCAAATGAATCCCCTGTCCCGGCTGCTCCAGTTCCCTGTCAGCTCCCTCATTAGGGGATGGGAAAGCAGCTGAAGACGGCCCAAGTCCCTGGGACCCGGGACCCTGCACCCACATGGGAGATCTAGAAAAGTCTCCTGGCTCCCACATTCCTGCCTCCAATTCTGGCGTCATGGCCCTTCGGGGAGTGAATCAGTAAATGGAAGAGCGGTCTCTTTCTTTCCTTCCTCTTTCTCTTTAACTGTTTCAAGAAAAATAAGTAAATCTCTCTTTTTTTTAATTAAGCATTAAAATTACTTTTAAATGATCAATGTTACTTTAGAAGTCCACAACCAGCCTTGAAACGAACATAAAAGTCTCAAATATATGAATTACTGCCTGAAGTTTGTTCCTCAACTGACACAGGGAGTTAACTTGTGAGGAACACCTGTCAGAGGAAGCCTCTCCCACCTACTGAGCGTGTAAGGACACAAGCAAGGTGACAAGACTGACTGGGGATCCTCTCCTGTGGCACAAACTATCTCCTCTCTAGCGTATCAACCTGAGCAGAGAGCACCACAAAAGGGCACGAGATGAGAACTGACCCCTACAGGTTGGACACTCGAAAAAATTCTACTCTGTCCACATTGTGTCACAGGCAATATTACAACTCAAACAATGCTGCCATTATGTTTCAATTAACGGCAGCCTGGACACCAGTTTAGCCTGTACGGTAAGATTATAAAACAGAAAAATCATACTGCCTTCTTCCTTTACACACAGATCATTCCAGAGCTTGAGGCACTGTTTGCTCACTTCTGAAGGTCACTTTCGAAAGCAATAATTAGGATGTAACGTCTATGTGAAGCATCTCAGGACAAACGGCACTAAATCCTTTCAAATACTGGCTGCGGCGCTCGAGATTCAGTCTATCTTAATTCACTTACAAAGATGTTTAATGAGAAAACAATTGTAGATGTCTGATACCCTACCATGAAAGAGAATGCAAAACATTATTAGCATACTGAATCACCCCAATTTCTACTTCCAACATTCAGTTGGAAGGACAAAAACCTGGTGGGGTGAATTCCAAGGCAAAGACAGTTAAGGTGGTGCAGGACTCGAGGGACGCAAACTTAATAACCCGGAAAGAACAAATCATGTCGTGCTCAGAGGCAAAGGCCATCGCGAAGAGCTGAACCACGAAGTCTTCCAGTGCAAACGTGTGCCATGGGTACTCAGAGCTGCCCCACAGACCCTGGAGGTGGTCCATGGGTCCCCACACCTAGAGCTGTACCCCCACAGACCCTGCAGGTGGCCCCATGGGTCCCCACACCTAGAGCTGTACCCCACAGACCCTGGAGGTGGCCCAGGGGTCCCCACACCTAGAGCCCACAGTCCCTAGAGATGGTCCATGGGTCCCCACACCTAGAGCTGTACCTCACAGACCCTGGAGATGGCCCCATGGCCCCACACGAGGGCCCGGCTTGGGGCAGCAAATACTCCTTCCTTCTTGGAAACCGTGCCAGTCTTCTGATGTCTCAGTCAGCCGCCCACTGCTTGTACTCCGCCCGCATCTGTTCCTTCACTCCTTAGTCTCCATGGGAAAAGGTCTGAGGGCAGAAGGGTCTGGGTCCCAAACAAGGGGTACGCCGTTCCCCGCCTCACCCCCGACTCCCATCAGTAGGGCACCTGGAAGGGTGACCTCAGCCCGGGTGGCGTCTCAGCCAAACGGAGCGTCTCCCCCTCCCCAGGCCGGTCGCCATCACCTCCTCCTCCTCTTCGTCTCCTCCTCCAGCACTTTCCACCGGAGCTAGAGCGTCCCCGACCGCTGCCAGCATCCCCCGCGCCCCCGCGCCACTTCCGCCTATGTGTCGCGGCGCGCTTGCGCAAGCTCCTGGCCGCGCCCCCTTACGGTGCTGGTCGCTCTTTCGCGCATGCTCTGTCGGGTCCGGAGGATTGGCTTTGCGACTGGCGCGGCCCCGGTCTCCCTGAGGAGAAGCTGGCTGTGCAGCTCCTTGGGGTGCAGTGGCCTCGTACCCCGGTTCTTAGGTCCTCAGGAGGGAAGGGAGCTCTGCAGGCTGACGTTTGGGGAGGTGGCCATGTGGACAGCCCCGAGCCCGGCTCTGCTGTGGAAGGTGGACCCCCGGAGCACCTGCCTCCTGGCCCTGTGATGGGCGCTGTGATGAGCGCTGTGATGAGGCGTGCAGCAACAGCCCCGTGGCCAGCCTTGCTTACTGACAGAGCTGCTTACTGCAGCTCCCCACAGAAGTCCAAAGCCTGAGGACTCGTTGAGACTGTGAAGCGTTTACCATGGATGGGGGTAGCTGCCTCTGCCATCCCCGAGATAAGTAGGTGAACACCAGAAGAGATTGTTTTAAGAAGAATGACGAGTTGTGTGTAGGAAGCAGTGGTGCGATTGTTCCGATGAAGATGGACAATACTTGGGAAGATCCCAGAAAGGGAGGAAGTAGGATAGCGGACTAAGTGTGCCGCTGTGTGCACGGTTAACAGTCGCACAGGTATGCAAAGACGGCAGAGTCGGTGTCGCGGTCTGTGTCTAAACATGCATCTCCTGAAATGGTGATGAGAAAAGGAGCCTGGGTAGGCATGTCCACTTACTGCTCACTCACCCCTTTAGACCAGTGTTACCATTGTTATAAATGTCATTATTCAGACTTAGGGAAATTAGACTTCCCAAATAGCGATGTGGTGCTGCCACTCCTCAGGGCATTAGATAGATTGAATGCCTATTTACTTCGCACATCTATGCAGTAGTTATCAAGCACCTGTTAATAAGTAGGCATATATATGTGTGTGTGTAGGTCATTTACATAGTTCATAAATTACAGGCATGAACTCCTGGCCCTTAGGGAGCTCTAGGACCCACCCCAGGTAGTAAATGATGTCTAAGAGAGCTTAGAGCACAGAAAGTGTCTCAGCGTGGTAACTCCACACACCTGCAGGGGCCTGCAGACTCCAAATGTTCCGCGCTGCCAGTTACCCTTTTAGAACCTGTGACAGAATTTGGCATAGCTCCAATCAACCATACAAAGATTTACCGTTCAGATTAAAGTGCAGAACCCTCTACGATGATGACAAGGACTGAGCCTGTTCCTGGCGGGTCCCCTGCAGCCTGCTCTTGGGAGGGACTCCCTGCCCGTGTCCAGGAACGCCAGGACCCAGTGCTTTGCATGGCCTGTTCCTTCATGGAACACTGCCCTCTCTCATGTCTGCGACTTGGGCTCCTCTTTGCTGTCACAGCTCAGAAGTCACCTGATCCTAACTCGCCTGATTACCCTACCTGCAAAATATTTGCACAAGTCCATGGTAGAATTGTGAAGACAATTGGGGCTGTTTTCTTAGAGTAGGGCATTTAATAAGTAACTCCTGTTTCCTGCCCATTTACTTGTGGAATAACCTAATGGGGAACAAAATGAAAGACTTGTAGCTAGAGCTGGGTTCTCATTTTCTAAGAAACGACTAGTCCTGTTGTGTCTGAAGCCTTTGGTGTCTGGACACATTTTGAGCATCATCTCTGCCTTCCTTTTATTATTGTTTTAAACCTTTTATTCATCTGGAAGGCTGAGTGATAGAGAAGGGGAGACAGACAGAATTTTCCATCTGCTGATTCCACATGTAGCTACAGTCGCCTGCACTGGGCCAGGTTGAAGTCCGGCTGTAACTCCATATGGGTCTCCCATGTGGGTGGCTGGGGCATCTTCTGCTGTCCTCCACATCACAGTAACAGCTGGATCTGAAGCGAGTGGCTCCTACGGGCACTGTGCCATCACCTCTGATTGCTGACTTACGAGAACACCTTGCTATGAGCTCCCTCGTGTCTCCTGGACACATGCTCTTTTCTCAAGCTTACAAGGACTTGTTACTTTCTTTTGTATCTGAAGGTTCTTTTGGCTTCACGAATGCCAGCAGTAGCTCCCACAGTGTAGGATGCACACTGCTTTCAAGTATTGGTGGATTAACACATCTGGAAGCCTTGAACCAAGCAGCACCAACAGGTAGGGACAGTGTTTCTGCTTCTGGCCCTCTGACTAAACAGTTGTGTTTTAAGCTTTTTACCTGTGGTAGACTGAGGATGTGGGCAAAACATGAAGAGATGTTGCTGTGGAACGGGGCTTCCTGGCTTCCATGGGAATGACAGGGGCCATAGGATTTTAGAAAGTGGGAGACCGATGGAAGCTGTTAGTGTACAAAGGGAAGCTATTACAGTTTTGATGGCTAGCAAATAGCAAGAAAGCCGGAGTGGCAAGCAGGTTGCTTTGATCTACATGCTCACGTGTCAATACCCCTAAAGGTAAGACGGGTGTCTAGCCTAGGTATATTATTTACCTTGAACAGCCAGAAAAACAAACACAAGAGCCAGAGGGGTAAAAACTGACATCAGCCCCTTTGATAGACTTAACCTCAAACCTGGCCCATCGATTGAGTGGAGCTCAGATCCCTTCAAGAATGCTTCTGCACGTACTTTTAATATGAGTTCCCCTAGTTACCTTTCCTATGGGACCTAAAGTACTAGCCCAAGGACAGAAACACACACGTGCATCATATACCACATACACACATACTACATGCACCACATTACATCACATACACATACCGCACATGCCACACATCCTCATGCCGGACACACACCCTGCACAAGGAACACACATGCACTACACATACATATCACACACCATATCACTCAACAACATGCCACACACACTTACATATGCCACATACACAAATATCACACACAGAACATACACACCACATGCATAGAACACACCACACACATGCCACAAATACAAACCACATATACACATGCCACACACACCACAGATACACTCACACCCATATAACCTACACATCACACACACCACACACAGAACCCTGTGATGCTTCTCCATGTATCTTTAATGAGTTCTCCAATTACATTTTGTGTCACACCCCACACGAACACACATACCATACACATAATATATAGCATATACCATACATACATATTACACAAACTACACACCACACACATTCCACACATATATACCACAACACCATACACATATACTATACAAACCACACATACCATACACACATATACCATTCAAACATATATACCACATATACACCACACATATACTCCACACCACATACCATACACACACCACACAATGCAACACATAAACACATGCACCGCACACATACCCCCCACAAATCACACATACTACACAAACACACATACCTCAATACAACACACAGACTGTACGTATACCACACACACACCAGACACACAAGCACACACACCACACACATACCACACAAATACACATAACACATAAACATACCAGACACACAACACAGACCACACAGACACACTATAGCACATACACTAGACACATACTTTGGAAAGTGAATTATCAGATCTTTAAAGGCTCTTTGACATGGGGATTCAGTTGACACTGGTACCAAGATGTTACGTGATACAAGAATTTCTGACCATGGATTGGCTCGTGATGTGTCCAGTGGATCTGTGGATTGCACACAGGCATGATGGATATTTTGGTGGGGTGAGCCAAGTGGAAACTCTTGAAGTCATCTCTCCTTCCAGGTCCAAGAGAGAAGCTGATTTCACCTGGGGCAAAGGTGTGGTGGGCTTGAGTGGTTGCATCATCAGTGGAGATGTTAAAAATTGGTTTAAATTTTTTTTTTTTTTTACTTCTGAGAAAATTTAAACTATCATGGTGTATGTTGGTAAACTACCATGAATCAAGAAGTGGCCAAGTTTCTAGATATATATAACTCACCAAATTTGAGTTGTGAAGACACCCTGATGTTATAGTTGACAGTTGTCTTCTCCCTCTTGGACCATTTCCTGTGGCTTTTAATGAGTCACTTCTGTGATAAAAAGTTTTTTTCCTCCTGTGATTGTATCATCAGATATGAATGCCATAGTCTACTTCGGCTTTGTTTCCAGTAGGAAAATACACTACAATAGCCAAGCGTGTTGGTCCCCAACCCTTGATGACAGTGGTGGGGAGGGCATTGGGTCCTCCCGTCAGATCCAGTCAAACCCAGGTAATCATGAATCTCAATATGTGGACCATAGTCACAGCAGCTCTCAGTCCACTGTGGCTGCAGTCACTTGGGTGTGCACTGTGGCAGAGCTGTTGCCAGGGTACAGATAGCTGGGATCCAGAGTCCAGTACAAATTGCCTGTCAGTCAGTCAAGGACTTAACTCCTGTTATCTACTACCTGAGGTTAGGACAAGGTGGGTATATACAGTCTCTTGGCCTATACAGGCTGACACCAAATTGAGGCGTGGCTCTGTGTGGTCCCAGAGGTGCATGTCAAACCTGAGTGAAGCTTACAGGACAGAATGAGTTTGTTCTGCCAGGGCATGAGTCTCTGCCTGATGCTGGGGGAACATCTGCAGGCTATGGCTGTGAGCATTGGTCTGGGCATAGATATTTTCCTGGTGCTGAGTCTCACAGAGCAAGGCCTGGCACTAATCTTTAAGGCAAATCAGTAAGCTCACCTTCCCACTCCTCAAGGCTGGAGTGTCGCTCTGCTGTCCATCCAAGGTGCCGGGAATGTGCTGTGTGTTGGCTGTCTTGCTAATGAAGATTCAAACAGCCCAATCCATATCTACTGGCTTGGGAGCTCAGGCTGCCTAGTGAGGCTTTCCATGACTGTGTCCTCTCGCATCAACTTCTACAGTCTTTTCCCCAGTCTTGGTGCTCTCTATCGCTGCATGTCAATTTCTGTAATTTAATCT